TGACCCATGAGAGTGCATTAGGTCTCTTGCATCCATTTCCCTAGCTTTTGATTGAAACATCCAAGTCAAATGTTCATGGTTCAAAAAGTCATTACCACTTGTTTTCATGTTCAAATTAATGTCTGGTGGATGACAGCTCCATTATTCTAGTTGTTCAGGCCAGAAACCTTGAAGCTGCACTTGATTCTTCTTTTTTCCTCCATCCATCCCCGCTCCCAAATCTTCTTCCTCTTGACACCCCCAACTATAAGCAGAATTTGTTAACTTTGTCTTCAAAATATGTCTAGGATTCAACCACTTTTCCTATCTACTGCCTGGGTCTGGGCCAGGGCCAAGCCACCACCATCTTTCCCTGAGAACTGTCTTCCAGCTTCGGCCCAGCAGGGATCCTTTTGAAATGTAATCCAGATATTGTCAATCCTCAATTCAGAATCCTGGACTGGTTTCTCATCTGCCTCTGAGTACAAGCCAGTCTCCTTAGTAGCCTAGGAGATGGGCACATCTGCTCAGGACCTCATGTCCAACTCCCCTCATTAGTCTGTCCCGGCCACACTGGCCTCCCCTCTGGGGCAGTCTCAGGGCACCTCCACCATGGGTCTTGGATGCTCTCTATTCGTCTGCGGTGTGATAGTCATCTCCAGGCATCCTGTTGGCCAGAGCACTCTCATTTCCTTCTGGCCTTTGCTCATAAATCACAGGGGGCTTCATCTAAAATTTCATATCCAATTTCAGGCTTTATTTTTTCATGAATATTTAACACTATCTCACATGTTGTTCTTATTTTTTTCTTTTCTGTCTCAGTGAGGATGGAACTTTTATCTGAGTTGTTCATTACTACACACATAATACCCAAAGTAGTACTTTCTATCCCCCACCTCCCTCCCTCCACCTTCCCTTTCTCTTTTCCTTCTTTCCTGCCTTACTTTATCCCTTCCTTCCCCTTTCTGATCTTTATTTGTCACTAGCTTTTGTGTAATTTTTTCTCTCCAATAAAAATAATCCTTAAATGTGGATTCATTGTAATATCTTTATGAGGCTCTTCACAGAAATAAACTAACAAAAGTCCTTTGATAGAAATGCTCTAGATGTCAGTTTCAGGCGATAGCTTCTGACTCTGTGAGACAGGCATCTCTATATATAAAACCCTAAGTGATTGGAATGACCAGTCGCTATGACGTGCACTGCGGGGGGTGGGGCCGGCCAGCCAACATACCGTGGCCCCTCCTCCTGGCTTGCCCTGGCCCCAATCAGCTCCCTCCACCCCGATTGGTGGCGGGGCCAGCCGGCCAACCTGCTGCTGTTCCCTTCCCCTGGCAGGCCCACCCTGATCAGCCCCAATTGGGGCAGGACCAGCCGGACCCCCACCACCACCACCACCTGTGCACGAATTCGTGCACCGGCCTCTAGTATGTAATAAAGTAAGACTTAGTTTTCGTGTAGAGACTTCTCATGCTATTAATTTCTCATGTTAATAAATACATCAAGAATAAAGAACATGATGCCATGGCCAGTGTGGCTCAGTTGGTTGAGTGTTGTCCCATGCATCAAAAGGTTGCTGGTTCAATTCTTGGTCATGTCACAAACCCAGGTTGCGGTTCAATTCCCAGTTGGGGTACATATGGGAGGCAACCAATTGATGTTTTTCACATTAATGTTTCTCTCTCTCTCTCTCTCTCCTTTCCCTCCCTTTCCCTCTCCCCCCTCTCCCTCCTCTCTCTCTCTCAAAACATCAATTAAAACATAATAAAAAATTAATTATAAAAAAAAGAACATGGTCATGCCAGTCCAGTTAGTTTTAGTAAATAGCATCAAGATAATAGGAATACAAACAGATTTCTCTTTCATTTTAATAGAAAGCATCCTTGCATAACATACATTTTTAAAAACTTGCATGTATTTATAAGCATGACAGTGTGTTCATGAGTAAAATCTTACGGAATGTGCATGTTTTTAAGCCCAGGAACTTACGAGGATTCTCTCCTTTCTGGAAGTTGTTAACAGAAGCGGCCCTCTCTTTCAGCTCATGACACTGAGAGGTTCGGTCCTGGAGGATGCCATACCTTCAACAGCAAAGCACTCGACAGCCCGGGGGCTGCCCCTGAAAGAGGTGCTGGAGCACGTGATCCCGGAGCTCAATATCCAGTGCCTGCGGCTGGCCTTCAACACTCCCAAAGTCACAGAGCAGCTCATGAAACTGGATGAACAAGGGGTGAGTGTGGCTTGGAAAACATTCTTCAGGCTCAGGTTTCCTTTAGGCTTCCAGAGCATAGACCTTCATAGTTCTTTTTTTGACAAGGAAAACTGATGCCATTTATTGTGAAGGGTATTTTCTTTGCAGTTACTCATTTTCTTTTTTCTTGGCTTTCTGAACTCTGAACATTTCTCATCTGATGAAATTCTCTATGTCAGCATTGATGGATATATTTGAACTCTGCGCAGCTCTTGGTAATCTTCCACAAATGTGGTGGATTTTTGAAGTACTCTAGTAGTAGCAATAACAGTAATAATAATAACTAACACTAATGAACCCACTCACCAGGCTCTGTTTTAAGTAAATTAAATATGTTATCCCATTTACTCTCCCAACCCTATGAGAATGGGACCGTAACTATCCGTTTTAGAAACAAGGAATCTGAGGCACAGAGATTAAGTAGTAAGTTCAAGTTCACACAGTTAATAAGTTCAAAGCCTGTACTGTTAGCTGGTACAACACACTGTCTTAAAAGCTTAAAATGTTAAAGATTATTAGTACACTCAACAAAGTATTTAGCCAAGACTAAATACAAACTTTAAAAAGGTGGGTTCTAATTAGTAACAAAATGAAAATACTGAAGATTTTCTCACTTCCATATTTTCTAGACCTTAACGTGGAGACCATTTGGTCAAAATACAAATGCCATTTTATGAACAAATTTTGATGGTATTTCCACAATTAATAAAACATTTCCATTTTATTAAAATGAATAGAAGTTCAGAAAAATCAGTTTCAAAGTATATTTATTCTTTTAATTCAGCCAGTAGGACTATATCATGGGCCAATAAGTTGGATGTAACTTTTCTAATCATTGCTCTCTGTCTAGTCATTTCATTTGTCATAAAGATAATGTCTATTCCATATATTTATTTCAAATAGGCTGTGAGCATTGATGTTTATAACATAAATATGAAGCAGTTTGAATGCTTCAGATGACTACTGATGCACAAACATACTAATTTGGGGGCTGTCTTCCAATAAATATTTTAACAAAGGAGGAGTAGAAAAATGATTAGGTTCAACTTTATGGATTCAGTGTTTTTAGGAGTCAGTTTCAAGGAGAATAACAACATTTAGACATTGATAATTATATATGAAACTTTCTAAATTCTACATTAGGACAGATTATCTATATCTATATATAAAAGCATAAGTGATAGAACGACTGAATGACTGGTCGCTTTGACGTGCACTGACTCAACGCAGGAGCTGCCCCCTGGTGGTCAGTGCGCTCCCACAGCCAGCCTCCTGTGGTCCCTCCCTCCAGCCAACCTCCCGCAGCCCCCATGGGCCCCTATCACTGGCCAGGCCGAGGGATCTCACCCATGCACAAATTCGTGCATTATGCCTCTAGTATTATATAAAGGAGGTATTTATTGCCATTTTCCCTTTGCTTTAATCACATTACGTAAAAAATGGGTGCCCCACTTGTATAAATTTTATGAGTTCTCTGGCACTTATGCCTCTCTTTGTGATTATAAATGTTGGACCAGAGGTGGGGCTGAACTGTGATGGACACTCTTTAGTACCATCAATACGGGAAAGATAACACTATAATGAGTTTAATTTAAAGCTAAATTTATTTAATTCACAAACTATCCATTCTGAAATTATGAACTTCTTAATCCTGGTGGAGGGGTACTAAAATATACTTTCCTTCATAAATTATTGGTAATAATATGTGTTAGTCGTTTTCTTTAATGCCTTTCTGGCATAATTAAAATTTGGTAATTTAAGTGAGTCTCCCAGTTTTATTTTGGAAATTTTACTAAATAGTGGAGTCTAGGAATTTAAAACCTGCTATTTTATACAAGCATCAATTTAGCTGGACCAAGGGGCATCCCTACTTAGCCTCTGTCATTTCATTTATATCTTCATAGCTTTCAATGCCAGAATTATACTGTTAAAAAACAGACACATACTTAGGCATTTTGTCTGGGGAGTCATTTTTATGGGTAGGAAATCTCATTAACGCCTTGGAATCATTTTGAGAAACAGATTATTTGGGCACCTTTACAAATACAGATTTTAAAACAAATGCTTATAAGTGCAGTAGATTATGCATTGGAGTCATTGCAAAGCACTTTGGGTTTCCATCTATGTCATCACTTCTTAAAATGTCATGCTTTGTACATCTTTACATTTGAAAAGATTCATGGTGTGATACCAAGAAACTGGACTCACTAAAAGGTAATTCTAAATCTCATTTTAAATTTTATTTAAGTGATTCCTTTAATATTTTTTCTAAACGGCTTATATAATTTTGCTTGGAAGAAGAAAACTATTTGCTTGGTCTGTTGTGGTATTGTGCCTTTCAGAACTTTGGTGCCTTAATTTCTCATTTTACCACTTTTAAAAGCTGAAATGAACAGAAGAACAAATGAAAATTATATCTATAAAATATGAAAGAAAGCATTTCACAGAAATATAAAAATTTGTTTTTATTTGTGACTCTGATATGTATGTTGGAACTGACATAGGCATTTTAATTCCTGAAGTTTTAGAAATGAACATACACCTTGTGATTTACTCAAGCTCTCACATTCTCCTTCTTGAAGACTTTCTGGGCCCTTCACTATGTACTGATGTCCACCTCCATTCTCATAAAATGAGCAGTAAGAAAATGAAACTGACCTGCCAATGATTTCACATTGCCAAGAATTTAGAACAAGTTGTGACTCAGAAAATTTGGTTCCAGTCTGGATTTAGTTTATCCATCATAATCCTAGGTCTTCACTTAATTAGACAATTTAGAGCATCTCTTATGATGAAAGCAAATACCTGAATATATGTTTACTTACATGGTTCTAAGCCCTTCTCCGGCATCATCTGATTTCGTCCTTAGCACCCTGTGTGGTGAGTTCTGGTTATTGGCCTTTTTTATACTTGGCAGGATTGAGACTTTGAAAAGTTCCCAGGGCCATTTTACCTTAGCAGTCCTGAGCACTGGATACCAGTTTGCCTAATACTACCTTTTGTTTTTTAAAGATTTGCAACTTTTCATATACTTTTGTGTATCTTGAATTTTTTTTTTATCCTCAGAGCTATGTTGTGAAATATCAGGAATTTCGTATCTATTCAAGCCAACTTTTTAATAAATGGCCAACTCAGTTACTTTTGGATTTGTTGTTTTTCTTCATCAGTCATTTAAAAAACACCTTGATCTCATCTACTCTGTGCGAGGGGAATGTGAGGTCGTCGGGCCAGCCCTGTTTGAATTCATACTTATGAAGCACTTAGTACAGTGCCAGATGTGGTGAACATTGAAGAAATAGTAGCTGTGATTGATAATGATAAAATGGTAACTTGTTAGTAGCCTTTTACATGCATTATCTCATTTAATCTTGGTAAGTATCCTATGAGAGAGCTGCTCTTAGAGGTAGTAGGATGTATTATTCTTACTTTCACAAGTAAGCGTAACTGCTTCAAATCCAGTAAATGCTTATTGAACAACCACTCTTTGAAGATTATTAAATACTGTAGAGAATAAATAGGCTGGTAAGACACTCCTTAACCATGGAGGAGACAAGGTCATAAGTTACTGTAATGGAAGTTAGGTCTAATATAATGAGTATAATAAAAGAATTGCCAATGAAGAGCAATGGTGGTGCAAACCAATGGGGCCAAGTCAGGATTGGTCAGATGGGTCAGGATGAGGAGCCCTTGGAAGGAAAGAGGATTTCATCAGGCCAGGGAACAAGCAGGGCAGGGGCCTAGACTCAGAGCAAGAAGAACAAAGCTTAGAGAGACAAAGGGCGGCAAGCAGTCCAGCTGAGCAGGAGTGCGAGGCACATACAAGAGAAAACTGAAAATAGGTATTTTTATTGAGCAGTGATTAAGGCAGGCAACTAGATGAACAATTCACATGGATTCTTTTAATTACTATTCAGCAGCTTTGCTGTAGGTGCTATTATAGTCCTTGTCTTACAGACTGAAGCGCTGAGGCACAAAGAGGCTGAAAGACCCCCAGATCACAATTAGGACCTGGTGGAGGCATTGGACCTGGAGAGCCCACACTCTTCACCCATCACCCGTGAGAGAGAGAAGAACTGGACAGCTGGCTCCATGCTTTATTGCTCCAGGCTTCAATGCCCAATATTAAGTATAACATGCTAAACCCAAATGAAACCGGAGCAGAGCTTAAAAATACTTAAAGTACAGTTGCCAGTTTGCAGTAGAGAAAACGGTTAGTCCTGTTTTCATTAGGATATGTCAAGTTTTATGTACACAGTAGTTATTTTACCTAAATGAGTATCTATACTATTTTTCTAGGTATTTATTAAAGATGCAAAGAAAGAAAATATTTATTGAGTTCTCTTTTCTTTAAAAAGTTAACCTTCAACTTATTGAAATTAAAGGGGAAAAGTATCTAATTAGGTCTGCAATATATATCTCAAGAATAGATGTAAGGAAAGAAGCAGTGTTTGGTTGATAATGAATAGCACTCATTAAGGACATGGGTAACATTATTTGCTGACTTAACCAAATCATTGCCCTGTTGCATTATTTTGTTGAGGACAAATGGATTCGAACCAGCCACTTTCTTCTTTGATGTAGGCAGCTGAATTTAAACAAAGAATCATTGGGAAAACACTTTTCCAAACCCATTTTCTATGAATGAAGCTTTGGCAAAATAATTACCCTTCCTGAAATTTTAATCTTTTCTTAGATTATGACATCAGCTAATGCATGTTTAAAGTTCCCGGGGCCACCAGATTGGTTCCAGACACTCAGCATATGTACATTGTCAGGAAGGAAATAGCCATGATAGTCATCAGGTGAGGGGAAGAAGCAGCCTCACTTGGAGCTCTGTCTTGTCTGTTTGCAAGTAGTGTTTGCTCTGCACCAGCTCATGCATGCTCTTTCCCCAGCCGAGGCTGGGTTGTATGACTGTGAAGTCCTTTTCAGTGCTAAGTAAGATCCCATGGTTTTCATGACTGATAACATAGCATTTG